ATGTGGTGCTTTCCATCAAGGTAGTTAATTTTGTTCCTGCAATTTAAGATGGAATTGATTGCTACAGTACTTGCCCTTGGGACAAAGTATCTTTTTATCCAGCGTGTCATTTTGACTTTTCACCATTCTTTAAAAAATTTTCTATATTAAATATTGTAGGGTGTGCAATAAGCTTTATAGTTCACTTTTTTTTATTTTCTATCTTCAGCATCTGTACATAGCCTGCAGTAAGTACTATATACATCCTTCTGCCTGCACTTGGCTTTGCAAGATGTATTTCAGTATCATTTAGATGAAGCCTATGGGTGACTTTGGCTAGCTTTAGATTACAAGGTTCCTCAATCAAGTATTTAATTTTTGCACCAAATCTCCTATAGTTTTTATAGTTACTCAAAGAGAGATGCAGAGCTGAGTTTTAATTTCAAGATGTTATAAATGAAAGCAGCTTTATAGTATTACCTTGAAATAATTGCCATGTTTGTGTTGGTTTTCTAAAATTGTGTGTGTTTTATAAATTAAATTTTATTTTGAAAGTAATTTCCAATGAAAAAAGGAAGCGTTGGAAATCATTCATAGGTAGCTACTTAGAAGAAGGCTGTGTCAGACTTCAAGATGAATTGATAACCCAGAGTAAGTGAACAAATAGCTCGGGATGGTTAGATGTGTATATCTTTTAGTAAGCTGCTGAAAGAAGTATTGCCTTGCTGAGTGAAGCTAAGCTGGAATGCCCGAGGAGCGATAGATTTCAAACAAAGCCATAATGGAACAGTGCAGTTATTTCAGAATTCAAGTGCAAAGCCCTTTGGGCAGGGACTGTATGTACAGGGTGTCCTCTAAGGTACTATTCCAGTACAAATAATGATAAAAAATTAACACAGGCATTAGAAAAAACAAAGTGGTTGAAGGAGGCTGAATGCTTGCCTCCTGGCATTAGTGGTATGGGTGGGGAACAGCAGGTGATACTCTGGTAGGATTCGAGCTAAAAAACTGATGTAGTTGAGTGTATTTTGTGGACTGAAAATTCTAGCTCTAGCCATCTAATCTGGATAGAAAAAATAAGGAATTAACTGTGAATGGGCAGTGTTCTCATTGGGGAAGTTCAGTCATGTTTCTGATTCCCAAAATATGTATGTTTAGGCAAGTGGGATACAATTAGTGCAGCATGGATTGCAATAACACATCTTCAGTAGAGAGTGAAATCCATTGTTAGTAATGCAAACACATTTCTATTCCACCCTGAACAATTCTATTTCCAGTATACTTTCATGGATGAAGAAAAATGGCTGTGTAGTAGTAGGAAAACTTGTACAGTTTAATAGTAGTGTGTGAGCAGGAAAAATTTCTATAAAGTGTTCCAGAGTAAACATAAGTAATTTCCTTTTTGAAACACCCCTAATAGAATAGCATGAATGTTTCTTTAAATGTCAGTGGTGCAGCATAGCTGGTAACACTTTCTCCATTGAACCACATACTTAGCACTGAAAGTTTCTTGCCAGTGTAACTGTCCAGGCTGGCTATAATTGTCTTGAGCCCTAATGGATTGCATACGGCCCTGTTCTTTCAGCGAGGCTGAGTGGAAGACTTGTGGAGAAGGCGGCGTGCTGGTAGTGGGTGACTACACACGGGTACTTGGAGCATGAGAGCCTGGGGCTGGCGTGGTTAAACTGACAAGGCCTGTGAGATGTTCCTGGTTACTCAAATAGGACTGAACTATCAGACTAGAGCATTGAAGTGTACTCTGTAAAGAAGTGTTACGGTGCTTATCCAATGCCATCAAGACTCTGGGATTCTGTCCATTTATTTCTTAAAAGGTGGTGGGCTGGACAATATGCTTGTGGTCCCTGACAGCATTTGCAGGTCATTGCCCCCGTGTGTCTGTGGTGTGCTGTGGGACTGTATTTCTGAGATCTCACTTGAGCATTTGATTTTCTTTCTGCAGATAAGATTCATGGGATACTTTGCTCTTACCTAGCCTGGTTTCTGTGTGTTTGCTGTGTGAGGTGAAGATGTGGTGATCTTGCTGGGATGTTTTCCTGACCCCTCTGGCTGTGGATAGAGAAGCAAGAATTACTTTTCCATCTCCCTCTCATCAGATAGTACACAGTGGGTGTCCGTGCATGTCACTTGCTGACTGATACCAGTATTTTACCAGCAGGGTGTGTGTATACATACCTATGTGTGTATATAGTTCCCATCATTCACCAGAAATGTTGCCAGAAAGAATTTGAGAGTTAAGTGAATGAAAAACGATACTTATTTTTGTAATACTATTTCAGGAACGTTCCTTGCTGTTGTGTGTCCTATTCTACTACATAAACATCCATTACTGTTTGAATTAAGTAGTTAGGCCATTGCTTTTCACATACGGAGTCATTTTTAATTCTGAGCTTCTAAAAAAGAGTTATGTCCATTGTTTGAGTGTTATAGGAATTTTGAACTTACAATAACAGATCTTTTATTCTTCTGTTCTTAAGAATGTTGTATTGCTAAAGTTATCATACACTGTGTGTTAAAAGTATGCATCCATGCTTCAAGCATTAACGATCAGGGCAGGCAGGACATGAATTGGACATTTAAGTATTCTGCAAAAAAGAAGGAAATAGACTGTATGAGTCTGTGATCGAAGAACACCAAGGGTAGATGGAAAGTTGTATTAGGAGTTCTGGTGCTGAGTCTGCAGCTAGCTGGGAAAAAAACTAGGTAAGCAGACTGGGTCCAGGATATATAGATTGCAAAGGGAAGATTGCAAAAGGAAATAGATGCACTAGATCAAGGATCCAGAGGTGATTCTTGTAATCATCTGCCTCACTCTCTGCAAATCTACCAGCTTTTGCAGTAAATGAGGCAGGACGATCCTTTGCCGTGCAACTTTCCTGGAGCAGGTTTGTCTAGAGCCCTGAATTAACCAAGAATTTATAGATAAACAATGTTTCAGATGTGGCTTTAGATTCTCAGATGTACATGCACAGAGTCAAAGTTTAGGATGGGCATGCAAACCGAACTACAGTATTTTCAAATATCTGCTGTTTGACTTTAGTTCAAAAGTATTATTTTTTTCTGTATATACCAAAAACTTGTGTACAAAAGGATGTATATCCTAAGATGCTTGTTCAGGTATATGCAGACTATAGAAATGGACACAGCAATGGAGGAATACACACAGAATCAGGAGGGCATAGGACCATGTGTGCACATATGCACATACAGGTATGAATTCACATACATGTACAAGTGGAAGGTGCATAACTGGGAAACAGCATTGCATGAATACGTAGGTATTTGTGCACCACAATCTCCTTCTTGGCTATATAAGGTGACAGAAAGGCCTGGAGCTGTGCAAACATCATTAAAAGGCACCCACACAGCTGTGGCCATCTCGGGCTGGGGAAGAAAAAAATGAATACTGAAAAATACTGTCTGGGAGAACAAAACAGGAGAGTCAACCCATCAAATGGCTGGAACTAAAATAATGCCAGAGTATACCCCAGCCAAAAGCACTGCCAGCAACTCAGTCAGTCACACAGCAAGAGCAGTCATCCACACATCCATATGCTGCAAGAAAAATATCCACCACCTGCCAACTGGCTACTAGCAACCATGACCTGTGTGTGTGTGGCCAGTGTGTTGGTGCCAGTGTTGGAAGAGGAGTGGAAAGAAAGGAAACAGCAATAGGAAATCAGAAACAACAGAGGTGAAATGGAATCAGTGCTCCTAGTCAAAACATTTGCTTAATACAAACAGAAGTCTGGAATGCATACAGTTTGTTTTACAGTGAAAGATCCTGGTCATGTGTGAAACTTCAGCCTTCTTGAATTGCAGGAGGTCCTGTATGTGTGCAGCATATTTCTCCACTTAGCACACATCAGAGGTCTTGAAAAGGCTGAACAATGCAACAGGTGGCTAATTGGCTTCCATCCTTTCAATTCATATAACATGAAAAAATCTAGTCCAGTGCTGAGAATAGGATGTTCAGTCTTCCCACTGGTATTCTAGGCTCTCTGAAGTGCTCTGTGGTCTTAGGTGACTTGTTTGTGTTCTTTGCCTACCATGTGTGAAATAAGGACAATGATGCATTTCGGCCTCTCGAAGGTACAGGAAGATCAAAAGAATGGATATAAAACTCAAGACTTGTGAAAGATGCCAAGCAGAAGAAAGCTGACTTGTAAATGAAATTCCTGAAGTCTGTCAGTCAGTGACATAATGTAGATTTGAGCAACAAAAGCATTTCATGACAGTCAAATTTCATTTCCATGGTGATTTCACATCAGTATCTCCTGCGTTAATAGCTTTTAGTATGATACAGTACTTTGTTCTTGTGTCTTACGATTACTGTATGGCATCTCCATACCTAAACTTCTAAAACCAAGTAATTGGAAAAAAAGCAAACTTGACCCCTGTAATTTCAGCATTTTCATATTTCATTCTGTATGGCCAATAGCTATTTTTGCCCTATTGTTCTTACCTGTTGCTTTCTGAACAGCTTTCTTTGAGCCTGAATCCTGATGAAAAATGATCCATAAGTTAACTGCTTATGTGTCCTCCTATAGGAGGTACCCTGTAAATGAGGAGCTCATCTATTCTTACATAAGGTAGTAGGAGTTTTTGAATTAACTTGATTTAATGCTGTGTTGCCTTCACTCACAACTCTTAGGTTTGTAAAGAACTGTTACCAACCACCGTGCTGGGAATTCTTTTAGCTATTCCAGGTTACATGTGTTGGCTTCTCATCTGTCATAAGACTTGGTGCTTTGTCAGGGATTCAGACCAGGCATAGACAGGATTTGAAATAAGATCACATCCATCCAGACACCCACCCAACTGAGTGTGGTTTTGGCCAGAAATTCAATCCAAGATATAAGAATGCAGATAAATTTCTGTTAAAATGGTAAGTACAGTAATTTTTTTTTCCCAAGATATTCAGGTATTTTTAACAAAACATGCACTCCATAAAGTTCCAGGCCAGCAATATACTAAACTTTCTTACCACTGAAATTCTCATCATGGACTAAATATATAACTAATTAGAATTTCTCATTGGGTTGTTTTCTTGTCAATGAGTGTCATTCAAAACTGTAACTATATGAAGGCTGTTGATTTTATGCATCAAGAAAATAGAAGACGAGGCATTTTAGTGGGGATGGCTGGTGTAACTAGATTTGTATGAAAATGCATTTGGTCTTGATTTTCTTTGTCTTCAAATAATATTTCATTTACTTTACTTTTTTCACCATAGTACATCCCATGCTTTACTGGGTGAGTAGAGGCAGTTGTACATCTGCTTTGCCCGTGTTTTGAGCCTGGCAGATATGAGAAGTCCAATTCAGAAGCCATGTGCTGAAAAGCAAGATATATTAGCGCAGGCTCAGTGCCATGTTCATATGGTTACATGGCTTTTGGATAGAGCTGGCTGACATCTGGCTTGTGTGAAGTGTGGTAGAGTAAAATCCCAACTGTCTACACCTATTCATCTGGACATACCCAACATGTGGTTGAAGTAACAAGTTGTAATTCACTGCTTAGTAAACTTGCTTCACCATTTTTAGTTTCTTTTCTGACTTGTGTATTAGCAGGTTACATCCTGTGTTTACACAGTATCTTCATTGCTCTATCATTCGTCTTATGCCTGTCATTAATACACCTAAAGCACTGTACAGATAAATAACTATAGCTGCTCAAGATTACTACATTCTCAGAATAAAAACTGGCTTTACATCTACTTGGGAATAATCATGAAATAATGTTGGTTTAGAAAAGAATTGAGGAGCCATGCCTTTCTAGAGAAGTTTGGATCTCCAGTTTCCTTTATTTCAAGAGAAGTATAACTTTTCAAAAAGCTTCCTATTTGTGTTTTCAGTAAAGACAATAGTCTAAAGAAAAAATCCTTTAAATCATTGCTAGTCAAAACTTGGTCACTAAATTATTAGAAAATGCTTGGATGAGTTGTAGTTTACTATGAATTTACAACTTTTGTCTCAATCTGTTTATGATATGGGTATCCCAATGCAGAGAGTTCGTAAAATTGGATTGAGGTTAAATGTTTTAAATTACTTAAGTCCTAAAGCTTCTGTATGAATTTTAAGAAGGCTGGGAGAAAGCATGCTGGTTAAAGTTCAGGTCTTTGTATGATTTATGAATGATTTGCTTCTGTTTTAGGTTATGAGCCTCTCAGTACCTTCATCAGTTTTTCAAGAAAGCCAGGTAAGATGATCCGTTAAGAGATTTTTTACACTTTTGTACTGAGCCTAGAATCATGGTTCGTCTGCTTGACATCAAAACACTTTTCTTGTGAATAAAGCTCTGCCATAAATCACACTTAAAGGAGCAGATCTTAGACTCCCTTTGGAGAATGAGTTGACTAACTTACTCTGAAGTTTGGCTTTGTTCATAACTCCAATAGCTTGAATTCTGAAAAGCCTGCTCTACAAAATCTTCTACTTGGTTTTGCAAAGATTTGCAAAAATGAGCATAAGGAAGGCACTAAGCTTATTTCATGTGATGAATGAGCACCTGCCTCTATTTGAATTTTCAAGGTGAGTGGTTGAATTTAAGCTTGCTATAGTCTTTCTAATACTGCACCACACACTTACCCTGGGTTCTTTAAAACAAACGGACAAAACATCATTTTTTTCACCCTAAACTTTGCTGGTATTATTTTACAAGCATAATCTTGTTTAATACCTGGTAATTAGTGGTGATAGCCTTTTTAACTTCTGAAGCTGCCAAAACCACACATTTCTAGCAAAAGAATACTAGGTATCCAGGTAGTAGGCTACAATACCCCTCCAGTTTGCTTCAGCTAAGAAAAATCTCTAACGCATGTAGTTTTGGTTCTTGTTGCTGCTCAGATTTGTGTTGGTGTCTTTATCTTAGTCCTAGAAGCATCTAAAAGGCACAAAGCAGAGAAATGTCCTTTTTTAAGGAGGATCCACAGATCTCAAATCCAAGAAGTGCAGTGGAAGCCACCAGAAATGACACGTCTTTTAATTTACTGTCTTGCTTGTCACATGCCAGTACTCAAAAAGTGGGATGCTATAACTATCTTAGAAACAGACTGCAAACCCTACAACTGTTGTAACGCTGTGAATCCAACCCTCTATTGTAGCTGGCTCCAAGATCATAAAAATAAAAGCCCAAAAGCCCCTTCCACATACTCAACCTTCAACACAGTTACGTTCTTAACAAGCTTGGAAGCAGTGCTGTCTGTGCTCTGTGCATTGGTACAGGGATTTGGGAGCATGGCATTGGTGCTGGTCTTTGTTTTGCAACTAGTGTGTGGAAGAATTGTCACTTATCTTCTAGATGTTGGATCTTAGCACAGGATAGCATGTCAAACCATGAATAAAGACAGCATCCCTAACATGTTTAGGATATCTGTGATGCTGGACAACACAGGAGTTAAAAGAACATGTCTTGACAGCAAAGCAGTAGCATTATGACCCATCCACTTATCACGAGAAGTTTGTGCAAGCTGAGGTGAACTAAGGGTTGAACAAAGGTGGGTCCTTCTGTCCCTAGTGACAAGTAGGTCCCTGTTTCAAGCATATCATGTATGGACATGGAACATGCTTAGAACAAAGCTAGCTGCAAATGGCTGTTAATGTCAGCAAACTAAGGGGGTTATGTCATCTTAAATGATTCCAAATCAAGTGTTTTCTAATTACTATGGATGACCACTTTATGTATGCATTTCATTCCCATGATGAAAGCTTTTTGCCAATGGATTTTCTGAGACCAATTCAAAGGAATGTATAGAGACCAGAGAGTCTATCAGTTGAGAGTTCCTACAGGCACAAAATGCATGAAGGAAACCCAAAACAGTGAAAGCTCAAGACTGACTCTCCCTAATGGTATCCTGCAAGTTGGCTGTAGAACCAGGGCACATAACTATCAGCTCTTTCACTGGTCACGCAAGCTTTGGTTTTTCTTAATTTTCTGAACTTTTCCAGCTGAATATCAAGCACATTTGTATTTGGAAAAATATGTGCCTTAAATTTGTCTCTGTACTCACTTGGGAAGCTGCACTCCATCTTTCAAAAAGCATGTTCGTTTTTTTATTCCCCCTAAAACAAGTTTCCATTTTTGAGAATATAGTTCTTTAAACTTTGAGTTGCCCCTTAATTTTTATTTTTAATGGGGAAAACAATTATTTCTCAAATTTAATCCAAAGCAAAATGTAGTAGTTAAAGATAATGCTCTTTGGCTGCAAGTGGTGCTTCCTTTCAGTTTTTCAATGGCCAGAAATGTTGGCTTGTGACTGAGACTAATTTTTCTTGATGTCTTAGAAATGTCATCAATGAAAAAATTGATGCAACCTTAGTTCTGACCTCTTGTCTTCTCCTGTACACACTTAACTCATGCTTTTCCTCTTGTATTTCAAATGGAAAGCTCTCTGCTGTTCCTCAGGTTTCACAATAGTCCTCAATTAAAAAAACATCTTTTCCAGGAGCATAAAGAGAACATGTAGCATGGAATGTGAAAGCTGCTTAGAAATGTTGGATTTCAAGGCTGCTGATTAAGAATTTGATTCTGAATTATGTCTTTTGAGAACTTTTCTTTTTGCTCAGATCCTGGAAATTCTCCTACTGCCATGCTGGAGACTATGCAGCAGCAAACTGATGGCACACTAGAAGGATTAAGCTTTTGAAAAACTATTTTCCTCTAAAGAAAACCCTCTTAGGAAGTGATGTTTATTGCTGCCAATGCAAACATTCACCTAGCAGCCTAGTGTCCATGACAGCAATAAAACTTTTTTCCAGAAAAAGCATGACAAACTTGTGAGGAGCATGGTGTGTGGTGAAAGCATGAAGGGCACGCAAGCAAGCCCAGTTATACAAGAAACTACTCAAGCTTAGAAAAAACTTGTTATCAAGGAGTGATATATGGTCACTTCTGTTTATGTTGCTCAAGTGTTTAGAGCACTCGTCTGAACTCGCCACCCCATATTGCAGTAACTTCAGTTCATTACAAGAAACAGCCTCAGCCCTCAAGCTGAAATACAAGCAGGCTAGACAAGTAAACTAGGAGGGTGATGGGCATAAAAACCCCTGTCATAAGGGAGGCAGTTGCAGAACTGAGAAGTCATAATCCAAAGGAGAGTGCTGACCTCCCTGAAGTCAATATAGCTTTGTCATCTGATGGTGAAGTGGTAGGATTTATCTGTCCTCTGCTTCCCTGAACAGTACCAAACTTGGTCACATTTTACTGATAAATTCCTGCCACTGGTGAATTTCCATGAGTGACAATTAATAAATCTTCTTTTGAGGAGAGAGGACACCTAGTGTGTTAATGTCACAAACCCTTCCACTGCTGGACTGCTCTTCCAGCCAGCTTGTTCCTGGCTCATTCAGTATCACAGATACTTGAGAAAACTGGTATTGTCTGTTAAAAAGAAACACTTTTCAGAAATAATTTTTGAAGAGTTTTTTTTTGTTGTTTTTTTTTGTTTTTTTTTTTTTTTTTTTTTATCAAACCGTGAAACTGCAAATATTTTGACAAAGAAAGTATGGTATTTTGAAATGTTACTAGTCTTGTGCCCTGCTGTCCAGTTTCCAAGTAATTAGGCTGGCCACTTAATGCCTGGGTAGTGGCCTTGTTGATGTTATATAGAACCATTAAATTCCTAAGGTCTTAATATCATCAATGCTATATGGTTAATGTTAAAAGGCCTCCTAAGAATTACATAGTTGGCTGCCCCTTTTCCCTCCATTCCCATGTTTCTGTGTGCATCTTTCAACTATTAATTCACAAATTCATTCCTTTTGTAGATGCAACTTGTAGTTTTCCTTCTTGCACATAAGCTACTTGTGCCCTCAGTATCAGCCAGCACACCAATTAGGGTTTGATCTGTGTAGTTCATTACCTATCCTTCCTTCCTGTAGGATCTGAATCAGTGGGCAGAGCAAGCCTGTGCAAAACAGCTTGTTTAGTAATAAAACAATGCACTAGAGGGAAAGAACTCTCAAACATAAAGCAGTTGGCACCTAAATTGCTGTATTTGCCTTTGTGCTGACACTTGTGCTTATGTGGCTGCACAGGGAGCTGAATCAGGGAACTGGATGAAAATTTCCTTTTGCAGAAGGAGGGGGTTGGTTTTCCAGCTGGATTAGTTCCCTGACCCAAATTACCGTGCAACCACACAAGCATCCCTCTTAGTGGCAGCCCACACTTAGATCAACTTCATTTGCTTGTATTACCTCAGCTTAAGTGGTTGGTGAATGGTGGAAATAGTCATTTTGCAGAATAGTTTTTCCAAAGATCTGTGTTTCTGGAGGACTTATTTCTTGTTCTGTGTTAAGCTTGCATCTACTCACCCTATGCCAGTGGTTACTTCCCTGTCTTTGCTCCGCCTTCTGCTCTGGAAATCAAGCCTAGGCACTTGGATTGTATGTACTGGACAGGTGATGACATACTTTAAATAGTTTTTCAAGTGTAAATTATTGAGATCAATTCAGGACTTGGATAAGTAAATTATGAACAGCTAAAGGCTGTTACTCATCCTGGTGAACTTAAGTGACACTGCCAATCCAGTATGTAAGGGGAGGAAACTGCTTTTTTTTCAGAGGTGATCTGAACACATTTCTGCAGAGACTCATCACTTTGTTAGCTTGAAATTTGTTTGAGTAATGAAGACTGAACTCCAGCAAGGATGTAGTTTCAGACAGAATATGGGACTGTCTCAATATGGATACTTTAGTTTGCATTTAAACACCTATACAGCAGGCTCTTTCCAGAGTAGAACAGGGGTATATCTTCACTTAAGCACTGTTAGAGAATACTTCAACTCAAGCTACTCCTAACTAAAGAGTGCTTGGACTTGTAAATGAAAATCACTGAGACCACTCTTACTTATATGGATTGAATTGTGAATTGTTTGCATTGCAGTAAGAAAATGCAAGGGCCCATGTTTCTGAAAAAGATACCTATTAACTTTAATAAAACTTCACTAGTGCAATAAACTTCATATTTTTGGTTTACATATTAAAAAAAAAAATAGTGAAGAACTCTAGCTTCAAGAAAGGCTGTTTCATTAACACCAGTTTACCACTACAAAGTTTGATTAGGCCGCGTTACACTTGCCTGCTAAGCAGCTATGAGTGCATTGTACCTATTGCTTTGGTGTTGGCATGTATTACGAGCGTTTCTTCCCAGATAGCAGTCACACAGCAAAATCCTACTGGTGTGCAGTTGGGTTCTTTTTT